GCCCGGCCCCGCTGCTCTTTTGAGAAGCCTCTGATCCCGGCGCCCGCAGCCCCCGGCCCAGCGCCCAGTCCTGCAACGGCCCCCGCGTCCTCACCAGGCGGGAGGGCAGAGAGAGAGAGGGGGGCAGAGAGCAGGGGAGCCTGGAGAAGGGAACCGCGGGGGTAAGAGAGGCAGGATAGTCAGGATGTGCTCGTTTTCTTAAGAAACCCGAAGAGGGAGGGAAAGAGTACAGGAGGGGAAAAGCAATCTGGCCGGCTTACCTTTAGACTCCCGCGCGCCCCCCCGCGCAGCAACCACAAACACGCGTTTGGTTAGGCGGAGGCCACGGAGAGCAGAGGAAGGGGGTCCCCGAAGGAGCCCGCGGGGAATTGTGCAGACCAGCAGCCAGAGCTCGGGGTGCGCGGGGGGGACTCTGAGCTCAGATTTCTCCCCCCACTCCCTTCCCTTCCCACCCAGGCGCCCGGGCTCTGGCTCTGCTCTGTGGCGGGTCCCCAAACGGGGGTGGAGACGGGTCCGCGTCCACGCGGCACTCTCCGGAGGAGTGGGGAAGGGACCCAGTCTCTTGGCCCTCCCGCCTAGTTACCAATCGGGGCCTGTGAAGGAAGAGGCGGCTGGCCGGACACTTTCTCCGGAGCGGGGGAGATAAACCAGGCGTTCTGAGCTGGCGAGGGCAGCCGCGCTCACTGCGGTGTCGGGCGGGCACGGGGTTCAGAAACTTGGGTGGTAGGTCCGCAGCCAGTTTTCAGCCAATATCTCCTTCTCTCTCTCTCTCTCTCTCTCTCTCGCTCTCTCTCTCTCCTTCCCTCCCTCCCTCCCTCCCTTCTTCCCTCCCCCCTCTCTTGTTTGGAAAGGAAACAGTCACTGTGGATCCGCTGGGGGACCTGCGGCTGGCGTGACTGCGACGCCCCGTCGGAGGGTATCAACTTGCATTATTTTCTCCGGGACGTCTCCAGCCTGTCTCTTGTTGAATGTCAGCGTAATGGGAAGTGCCAGTGACAAGACGGCGTATTACTCCTGATTAAGTGCCGTGTCAACCTAATTAGCAGAGTAATTATAAGGTGCTAATGAATGATTCAAAGTTCTTTGAGTTACATTTTACTCCGAATTACCATTTTAAGAACCCTGTGCATCGGAGTGGCTGGCATTTCTTCCTCGGCTAGGTGCAGAATGGTGCTGTAAAGTGGCCTTTAAAGTCTTCAAGGGCTGGGCCGAAATCTGGGGTTTAGTGGTGGTCCTGAAGGTCACTGCCTGAAGAACCGCTTTCTTTCTTTCTTTCTTTCTTTCTTTCTTTCTTTCTTTCTTTCTTTCTTTCTTTCTTTCTTTCTTTC